ACCTCAAGTAACACCAAGAAAATTAGGAGTGTTCCTCATTGTCAAGAAACACATGGGAAAAAAAGAACAATAAAAAAGAAAGAAATGTACACTCCTGCACAACAGCAGACATAACGTATTTTGTAGAGATACCAGGGCTGTGGTAGTATCACCAGGGGCTGCTTCTTCAGCTCTGCCCTCTGACAGAACCACTGCTATCGGGGTTCTCCTGCAGAGGGCCAGAACCTACAATTCATGGAATCATAGAATCATAGGTTGGTAAAGACCTCTAAGATCATCAATTCCAACCATGATTCAGGGAGGTAAACAGCATCCTCAGAGCAGAATGAAGACCTCAGCTTTCCAGGCTGCAAAGTTAACCAGAACAAGATGAGCGGGTCACACAGATGAGCAGAATTCCACTCAGCTCTACAGAGCTGCAATAAATACTTGTGTTGAACTACTTGTTTAAAACCACCATCAACGTGAGGGACAAGCAGTTATGTTAAATAAATTAAAACAACCAAACAATGACAAGAAAAACACCCTGTCATACAGTTTCCAGGTTCTCTGAGAGACACAAGGAAAGAATCTGACAGAACTAGTTGCAGAGAACCCAACAAATGACCTCATGGCTGTCTCAGCCAGAGGCTGCCAAACTGAGTGAGTTCAAACCTATAACCTAGCATCAAGGTATGCAATGAAGTATGGCTGGTGCCGCTGACAAGATCTCAGGTACTAAGTATCTTCATTTTTCTTGTCCTCCAAATCCAGAGCAAAGCACAGACCCACTGCTGTGCTGTCCTCTTCCCCCCCTTTCTGCCCTACCTCCCACTCATCTCCAGCCAGACCTGAATTCGCATCATGCACATCCACCTTACGTTTGCTGACGTTGAAACAGATCCCTCCACCTCAGTAGAATACCAGTAGTGTTAAACTTCACCAAAAAACAATGAATCATCCATCCACACGTTGCAGAACCCTTCGCTAAGCAAACTCCAATAACATTTTAAATCACAATTTCCAGAAGAAGCAAATGGGAAAAAAAAAAAAGGAACTTTCAAATCTCCTGTTATCATAACAGCTCAAGCAAGTTACACGTGTTCCAGAAAACAATGAATAAAGAGTTGCTTACATGGAGTGGTTCAAAAGGACAGTTGTGCAAGTAAACTGCTCCTACAGCAATTTTCCAAAAGGTTAAAAGAATAAATATGAGCATACATAAAAACAAAACAAAAAAACACTGAAGGCTACTTTAGCAATAAAATTATTCTCAAAGGACACAAAGATTCAGCAAAGAAAAACACTTCTGTGTTAGGCAACAGGCATCTTCAGCCAAATAAAGGTAATAAAACAACCACTGAGAGGAACGTGGGGGGTAGATTAATAAAAAAAGCAAACTGTGAAACGAGTGGGAGTTTAATTCTTAAAATACAGTTTTAAATAACAACCACAAAACTGAACACGTAATCTTCTTACTGCTTCTGAAAATTCTTTTAGCTACAGAAGCTGAATCTTTACATAAGCAATACATCTGAAAACACAGAGGCTACTCATCAAATAGTTCAGCAAGTTGGTATGGTAAATTACCATACCCTACGTATGGTTTCATGCCCTATACCTGTGGGGCAAAAGTTGTGGTCAGAACCACAAGGAAGCAAACGGCCAAAGAAATACAGCTTCTAAGAAACTCTTGCAAATACCCCATACAGAAAAGAAACGAATTGTCTCTTTTGAGAATCAGATGTGGGGTACATATTATGGCCTTCTTAACAGAGTGAATCATGACAGAGATAATTAAATGGATAAAGAAATATTGATTGAAACCATGCAACACTAAAATATTTCTAGTGCAAAGAGAGAAGCATGTCCTAGCTATTTTAAAATTGTATAGAGGCATCACTAATCCATTAAGGATTCACAGGGAGTTTAAAATCAAAAGATTTTATCATTACTTGTTCTTTATAATCCTTGTTTTCAAGGAGGAAGTGTTACTTGACTGGCCTCATTTACAATGTTATTTGGAACTCTGTCTCTATAAATGTTTTATTTTTATAACTGAAAAATAAGGATCAGATTTTTCATATAAACTTGTGAAAGTATCCCATTTACCTGAAAATGCCCACTTAAAATGAAACCAAGAACAAAGTTGCATTAAATCTAATGTACACAGGGTTTCACTTACTGACTTTAAGCTTCAAAAGAAGATTTGATCTCTTACGTTTGAAAGCCAAAGGTGTAGGTATTTAAAATTCATTGCAACTGAATTTTTAGGTGTCAACCGCATCATTATGCATAACTTTCAATTCTTTGTGCTGAATGACAATAGGATTTTTCATGGAAAACACCTAGTATGAACAGTACTAAGTTTCAAACAAATTGTTTTCAAGCTGTGAAGCCCTATGGCGAATACCACTGAATTCTTAGTGAATTATGAGAAAAGTAAGTGTATGATTAGAATCACACTAAAACCATGCTGTATAAATTTATAAATCTGTTCACGTATTTTCTGGATTAACACACATCACATGAAGATGTAAATTTAGAAATCATTATCATCAGAAGTGGCTCCTCAGCTTTAATACCTAACAATAGCTTCTCAGAACAAACCAAGGATTTTCAACCAAGTAACTTTGGCGAGTTGTTTTAGACCCTGCTCTGCAGCTACAGATTGCAACACAGAAAAGACAGCAAAAGTAATGTGAATCACCACAGTCAGCATGATTTTATGTGAAACTTGTTAGAGTTTTTTTAACCCAAGATCACCAATTTCTTATGCTACTTACTCACAGCAGTAGTACATCTGACACTGCCGGAGGCAGAATTCTTCAACAGGCCTGAAAACAAATTCTAGGGAAGCTAAAAGCCTTACTTAGAATCCGCACCAGCAAGGAGACAGGATGGTGCTCACTTTGATGTTCAAAGAAGAAAAGAGAGAGGGAATGAACAAACACCAGGTTCCCACTGAGAATCAGGAGTGGCTCATAATAACAAGCACTGAATCAACCACATGCACCTGCCAGCTTCAAGATAAGCCTATGTAGGGTCCTTTTTTCTCCATAATCCACTAGACATAGCTTTTTGAACATATTTCGGTCTTTGTTCTGATACACAGAGAGAGGACAAATGTGCTCTAGCTGTGGCTACTGGAGTAACGACTCAAATCTGCCTAGTTACCCACTCCAAAATTGCAATAGGAGACCAAAGACTTCTACAGTACAACTTCCCTAGAAGCATAATCTAAATAACATATTGATGTCTTGTGCATAAGAGTAGATAAACCAATAGCTAAAAGCCTCCAACAGGCTGGTTACGTCCTCAGCATGTACTGCCATTCACACTAACAACCGTGGCCTCATTGCTTTCTTAAATTCCTCCCTGGAACCACCTGTCACTCTTTATTTGCCTTCCCCCTTCTACCTCAGCCACAATCTGCAGGGTGGGCTGGCTGCAGCCTGGAGCTGCGCTCACTGAGCCCAAAGCCCCTTTCTGAAATCCCAAGTGAGAATGACATAACACAGCCCCAACTGACAGCATGTTTTCCAGCTACAGTTTTGTTACTCCTGCTCCCACATGTAGGTCCCTACGCATCCTGCCCCAGAAGCGTGTCCCGGTGAAGACGCGTTGGGCTGCTGCAAGGCTAGGGCAGGCTACAGGCCTTCTCACTTCTCGGACCTAGCACAAATGTATCACAAGTACCTGGAATGGAAAGCTTCAGCTGACACCTATGACCTTAGAAGAAGTCAAGAAGTATTTTGTTATAAGTAGGTAAAACGAATGGTGAATAATGATGTCAAACAATAACCTATGTTGGACCACCATCAGAAATTATTATGCAAGTTTTCAGCAGAGAGGCAGTTCTTGCCCTAGTAAACAAATGACAGCTGGCAATTTTAATTCCCATGCTTGTTCATTCTGGGTCCAACTGCAGAAACTTTACTGGTGAAGATGGCCCAACCACCACTTTACACAGATCTTTTTATAACAGAATAGAAATCGACATTTGATGGCACAGAATATTTCTCTCGGTCTAACAAAGTCCTGCCTGATCCAGAAACCAGACTTCCTCCTGCCCTTCATTAAAACAAGACTGAGTTTTACCAGACAGCATTATGACTGTTATCTCGGAAGGCTACAGGAGGGGGCTTTTTTCTTATTTTGTGTAGCTTTTACTAAGTATCTTTCAGTTAAGAACAGCTACATCCTGCTTCAAGACCCTGCAGTTTTGTTACTCAACAGACACTAAATGACCTCTGCAAAAAATCAAATGCAACAATATTATAATATACAAATAAGCATAAGCATAGTACTCAAAGGTGCTCCCAAAATAGTAACATACCAGCTTGAAAAAACATGAGTAACAGTTGCTCAGGCAGTCCAAAGGCAGCACAAAGGACTCGATACATTTAAGTTAGACGTTTCCAGACTTTCCACCCTCCTCTCAGGAAAGAAAAGAAAAAAAACCCAAACCCAAGCCAAAGGGCAATCTCTAACCGTTCGATTTGCAGAGGTGCCCCACAGGTGAAGCCGAGCTCGGGACCCAGGGGCCGAACGCCCGGGGAGGTGCCGTCTGTGAGACCCTTCCCACGGCCCCACAAACCCAGCTCCGGCCCCGGCTTTCTCCCCATTTTTGAGAGCCCGCTCGGGAAACGGGACGGCTCCCGCGCCCGCCCG